CCCCCCCCGGGGGGGATGGTCACGCCGCAATCCCTTCTCCTCCATTCTCCTCTCGGGATCTTGGGCACGCACGCACACGTGCCCGGCGTGGTTTTAAGTCACCGGGTCTGGGACGTGAACCGCGGTTGACTATGTGGGAGTCCAGTGACATAGCCATTATGCTAACTGCTGGTTCCCCCAAGGGAGAATTTCTTAACTTGTCTTTATTTTTCATGACATTAATATTTTGAAGAATACAGGTTATTATTTTTTAAATTGCGATTTCTGATTACATAGAATTACGTATCTTTGTGGGGTATAGTGTAGTTGTGTTTAAATTGTGTATATAGTATGTAATAATCAAATCAAGGATAGAGAGATATTCACCTTATTCAGTGTTGTACATTACACATCTGTTCCCATTCAGTATTAGCTTTACTAGTTGTATTTGTGTATGCGTGTATGTTTAATTTGGAAGTATATGTTGAATTGTGAACAACATTTTTTATTCTGCTGTGGTGCACCGTTCCATAAGCTATCCACTTATTTATGTGCAGTCTTGTATCTGTTAATCATTTTCTTCCAACCCCCCACCCCGACCCCCACACAGCTTCTGGGATCTACTGTTACTTTCTCTACTTCTGTATCATAAGTCCTTCTACCAGAGTGCAGTTTCTACCAGAGTGCAGACAGTTAGTATGTGTTAAGCAGGGACATATAGTACTTGCCTTTTATAGCCTGACTTATTTCACTTGCAATTGTATCTTTTTTTTTTTTAAAGGAATTATTTATTTATTTAATTTAGTTTTTTCTTATTATTTTTTAATTTGACCGGAGAGAGAGAGAGAGAGAAAGGAAAAGTGAGAAAGCAAGCTGCCAGGCCCAGGATTCAAACTGTGGTCAGCCATGTGGGAGCCCACTGCCTTTAACCACCACACCACCTGGCAGTCCCCCATTGTATCTTTTGTATCTTTCAAATTCTTCCACTTTTGTTTCAAATGACAAGATACCATTTTTGTTTATGGCTGAATAGTTTCCATTGTGCATACTTGCCATGTTTTTTTAATACATTCATTGATTGTTGGACACTTGGCAGGTCATTTATTTCATAAAATATTCTCTAATTTAGGTTTACATACTGTTGCCCGTGAGTAGATTCAGATATGCACCCACAGCCTAGACAGTAACTAAATGATGTATCCTCAGATATGTCATCTGGAGGTGTACAACTTCTGTACCTCCATTAGTGGAAGAGGATAATTTTGATGACTTGGCCAAGGTAATCCACTACCTGGTGCCCTCACTGCATAGTTACTGTTTTTTCCTTTTCCAATCAGTAAACAATCTGTGGCAAGACATTTGAGACTTTTCAAATATCTTGTCTTGGTCAAACATTCCTTCCAGATTTGTTAGTCATCTTGACTGCAATGGGTGTGAAGTGGTTGTGTCCCAGCTCCTTCCACAGTGGTCTTTCCACATTTTACTGGAAGGATGAGCCTTCCCTTTTTCTCTGCTTATCCAGCTATTCACGATCACTATGGAATCATTGATTCCTTTTTGTTGTTGATTGATTTTTTGGGGTGAGGAGGGTTATACACTCGAGGATAGAGACACAAAGAGAGAGAGGGAGAATGAGAAGTCACTTCCCCAGAGGAGATGGCCACGCTACACTCTCTTCTCCTTGTCTCCTCTCAGGATTTTCACACACATACACACACACACACACACACACACACACACACACACACACACCCAGCCTGATTCTCATGCTGTGGGGTCTGAGACTCAAACTGTGGTTGGCCATATGGGAGTCTAGCATCTTATTTATTTATTTAGAGAATTATTTATTTGGGGCTGGTAGGTAGCATGGTGGTTAAGGACACTGAACTCTCACATGGCCAACTAAGGTTCAAGTGCTGGACCTGATGACTTGTTTTCTCACTTTCCTTTTCTTTCTCTCTCTCTCTCTGATTAAACAAATAAATAGATAAGATAGATAGATAGATAGATAGATAGTTAAATAATAAAATAATTCATTTTTTATTAAAAATTTAAAAAATAAATACAATTAAATAATTATTTTTTAGAATTTTATTATTTTGGGAGAGGTTTTTTTTTTTTTTTTTTTTTTTTTTTTTTTTTTTTGGCTATTGCGCCCCCCACGAAAGGGGGGACAAGACAGAAAGCGAGAAATCACCCCCCAGGGGGGATGGCCACGCCACAATCCCTTCTCCTCCATTCTCCTCTCAGGATCTTGAGCATGCACACACACGCGCCCAGCGTGAGTTTAAGCCACCGGGTCCAGGACTTGAACTGTGGTTGACTATGTGGGAGTCCAGCGACATAGCCATTACACTAACTGCTGGTCCCTAGAATTTATTATTATTTTTAAATTTCCTACAGGGCAGGGCACTTACCAGAGAGACAGAAAGAGAGATGAGTCACTTGGGGGACTGAGAAAGCAAACCGCCAAGGCTAGGACTGTGTTCGGCCATGTGAGAGTCCAACATCTTAATCACTACACCACCTGTTGGCCCCTGTTCTGTTGCTATTAATAAACTGACTTTTTTTTTTAAGAACAATTTTAGGTTTATAGAAAAATTGAGCAGAAAGTACAGAGTTTCTATGTACTCCATCTACCATATTTTTTTCATCCTTGATAATTTAGGTATAATTCACAAAATGTTTTTTAAGGATTTTTTAAAAAATTTAATTGATTATTATTGTTATTACTATTTTAAAGTTTTTCTATAGGGCACATGCACCAGAAAGAAAGAGAGGGAAAATGAGAAAGCAGTTTGCCAGATCTGGGACTCAGACTGCGGATGGCCACATGGGAGTCCAGTGCCTTAACCACTATGCCACCTGCTGGCCACCCATAAATTCTTCTTTTTTAAAAAAATGTCAAGTACTTTAAAAAGGAAAAGTGGGTATAAAATTGAAAGCTTGAAGTCAGATAGATATGGGATTAAGTTCCAGCTGTTACTGTTATGTGTAATTGGGCAAATTGCTTGTTTCTTTTTTTTTTTTTTAATTTTACTTATCTTTAAAGTGAAAATTGCACAATTGTTTTAAGAGTTAGCAGTAATGTATTTGTAGTGTCAAGTGCAGTGTTCACACAAACTACAAGTCTGGTAAATATTAGCCTCTAATACGCAATTAATATTGTAAATACCAGGAAGAATATGGTTTCATATTTTTGAATCTTACCTAGATTTATTTTCCTGAGCCTGCCATTTATAATATAAATTTAGATATGTTAGAGAAATCTACCTCGTTGGCTTGGATAGGCCATTTAGAATAGAAACTAAATAAAGGAATTGATTTACGTTCTCATTTATTTATAATCTAGGTGGGAGACCTACCTGATGCTGATATTAAACCACCAGAAAATGTGTTGTTTGTGTGTAAATTGAATCCAGTGACCACAGATGAGGATCTGGAAATAATATTCTCAAGATTTGGGCCAATAAGAAGGTAATCCCTCGTAATCGTGAAAGAGAAATTCAGAAAAACTAGATAATAGCTGGTGGTTTTCTAATTATTTTTTTAAAAACAGAATTATTTATTAATATTTAATTTGACCATAGAGTGAGAGGGAAAGTGAGAATGTAAACCACTAGGTCTGGGGCTTGAACTGCAATTGGCCATGTGGGAGTCCAGTGCCTTAACCACCATGCCACCAGCTGGTCCATGATACTTTTTTTTTCATCTTTTTAAATTCCATTTAATCATTGTGTGTGTGTGTGTGTGTGTGTGTGTGTGTGTGTGTGTGTGCGTGTGTGTATATATATATATATATATATATATATATGTATATATATATGTATGTATTTAAACAATTATTTATTTAATTCCATTTGTTATTACTATTTCTTTAATTTGAGCAGAGAGAGAACGGGAAAGCAAGCTGCCAGGTCTGAGACTTGAACCAGCCCTATGGGAATCCAGCACCTTTAACCACTATGCAACCTACTGGCCTCTTATTGTGTATCTTTACAACATACAAATGGTTTTCCCAGCATGAATACAGTGCATATTACTCAGGTCAAATCAAATTATGTATTTTTGGTGAGACATAGAGACAGAAAGCAAGAAATCACCCCCCGGGGGGATGGTCACACCGCAATCCCTTCTCCTCCATTCCTCTCGAGATCTTGGGCACGCACACACACGTGCCCAGCGTGAGTTTTAAGCCACCAGGTCTGGGACGCAAACCGTGGTCAACTCCGTGGGAGTCCAGCGACATAGCCATTATGCTAACTGCTGGTTCCCTATTGGTGAATTTTATACAGGTTAACTTGCCATAGGGCATGTACACTCACTAGAGAGACAGAGAGAGGGAAAGTGAGAAATCATCTCCTAGAGGGAATGGCCATGTGTAGTCCCTTCTCCTCTCGTCTCTTAAGATTCTGAGTGCTTGCACATATGCCTAGCATGATTTTCAAGCTGCTGAGTCTGGGACTCAAATCATGGTCAGTTATGTAAGAGTCCAGGCTTTAATCGGCACACCACCTACTGGCCCTGGTACCAGTGAACTTTTATAAGTTCTGTTTTAGTCCCTATAGTAAGTCCTATGGATACAAGATGAATAATGGAGTGTTGGGGAAGACCAATATGTAAGTGTTACCTAGAATTTATGTCAGTTTTACCAGAAATGATGTTTACCGGACACATGATGCAGCAGAAAGGAAATTTTTACCTTTGGTTTGCTGTGAAGCTTGTTATGACCTGACACTGTCATGACTTCATTGACTCTACATATGTATTATTTATTTGTGTACAAATAAAATTTTATTTGTAGCATATAGACTAATGATTGCCTTTGGTTTTTGGTGTATATACACCCATACATACATACAGGTAGAAAAATAATTGGGGCATGGTTAGGGTGCAGATCCCTCATGGCTGACTTTGCAGTTTAAGTCCTGGACCTGGGGACTTGAGAAACATGCTAGGAGTGTGTGTGTGTGTGTGTGTGTTTCCCTGCATATTCACACACGTGTGTATGTGTGCACGCACACAACCAAAAATCATGAAGGAAGGAAGAGATGGAGGAGAATTTAAGTGCAACTATGCCCTATGGGAGGGTGATTTTTCTCTCTCTCTCTCTGTCTCTTTGTCTCTCTGTCTCCCTGGCGAGTGCATGAACTCTGGCAAAATAAAAAAATTAAAAAGATAAATAATTGAATGATTTTTGCACTCAGCATGAACATTTTTCACTCTAAAACTGGAAATAAATGGAACAATTTATTTAACAATTAAGTCTAGTTCTGTAATATTCACAACAACCTTTATAGTTAAAATATTTATCTCAGTTAATGTCTAGAATTAACAGCAATCTGTGTCAAAAGTAATTTAAATCTTTGTTTTCCAAAATTTTTATTTTAATAAATTTCCTGTGTTTTTTTTTTAAGTTTTAAAAATTTTTCTGACTTTTTTTTTTAAAGTCTACTCATTTATTATTTCCATGAGTGAGAGTGTAAGATACAGATAGAGAAACAACACCCCCAATAGGGGTTTGACATTGTGATCAACTCCTGGCTTCAGTTAGCCTAGGATACATGTTTGCCTGGCATGTTCAGGGAGATCTCTGGACATGAACATAGAACCTTCCTATAGTGGTCACCCTCTCAGAACATACTATTTTAGTGCTGTGTCACCATCTGAGCCCCTAAAAATTATTTGTATATTTCTTTTATGTGGGAGACTGAGAGAAAAACAGCACCTCCTTCAGCTTCAGTCCACTCTCAGCCTGCAGCCAGTTCCAGACTGGACAGCGCAAACCCATTGTGCTTAGAGAGGTCTCAAGACTGGAACCAGGAACAGTCCCATGCGAGACTGCCTCATAGGTCTTTGCGTTCTATTGCTGCACCATCTACTGACCCCTGAAAATGGTTAATATTGTTATTTTCTCTTTATTTGTGGGAGGGTGTGTGCACACACATGTGACAGTGAGAGGAGGGAGGAGGAGCACCTTTCACAGCGTGTGCATGCTGTGGTCCTTGTTTGCCAGTCCCCCAGCCCACTGCATCATGGGCATTCATTTGCAGGCCCCGGGTGTTTTAGGCTGACCAGGCCAGGGCTTTGAACCATGGTTACTCTATGGGGTCTGGCTTCTCTTGAGCAGAATGGTTTATTACTATTACTGCTTTACCACAAAGCAGGCTCAAAATTATTATTACTATCATTTTCATTTTTAGAAAGTTTTTTTTGCTATAAGGTATGCACACTCACTGGAGAGACAGAGAGAGACAAGGAAACAGAAAGTGAGAAACCACCCCCCCAGGGAGGATGGCCACGCTGCAATCCCTTCTCCTCCATTCTCCTCTCAGGATCTTGGGCAAGCATGTACACATGCCTGGCGTGAGTTTTAAGTCACCGGGTCCAGGACTTGAACCACTGTCAATTATGTGGGAGTTCAGTGACATAACCATTGCACCATCTGCAGGTCCCCAAAATTATAATTTTTAAAGAATTACTTATTAATTTCATTTGTCATCATTATTATCATTATCATCATCATTATTTTAATTTGACCAGAGAGAGAGAAAGGGAAAGTGAGAAAGCAAATCCCTAGGTCTGGGACTCGAACTTCAGTTGGTCTAGTGGGAGTCCAGTGCCCAACCACCATACCACCTACTGGTCCCTCTAAATTATTTTTTAATTGTCATAGTTACTGTATGTGTTTATAAGGCAAGTATATTTTTTCAGTGTGAATACAAAGTGTTATGATCAAATCAGTGTAAGTTGCATATCCATCAACTCAAATATTTGTCATTATTTGAATTAGGAGCCTTTATAATTCTCTGTAGCTATGTTGGAATATGCATAAATAACTGTTAACTGTAGTTTCTTTACTGTGCTACAGAACACTGGAATATATTCCTCCTATTTATTAATAATTTTATTCATTCCTCCCATCATTATTACTTTTTTAAAAATTTTGCCAGAGAGCAACAGAGAGGGAGAAAGCATCACTCATGAGGAATGGTCATGCTGCAACCCCTTCTTATCCATTTCTCTGTCCTGTTGGGGTTTGGGGCATGTACACTTGGATATACCTGGTGTGTTTCTCAAGTCATGGGGTTCAGGACTTGAACTATGGGGTCAAACATGTGAGATTCAGCTGACTTAACCACCAGATGATCAAGCCAGGTCATGCATTATTTTTTTTTTAAGATCATTACTTCTTCCCTGAGAGAGACAGGCACCCTCTAACAGTATTTCATGCTGTGATCCATCCCCAGCCTTAGCTAGTCCAGATTGGGGGCATACTTGTGCCTTCCCAGCCTGATCAGGAAGGAAGGTCCCAGAAGGTATACCCAGGACCTTTCCATGTGCATCAGGTCGTGTTACTGCTGCACCAACTGCCTGGTCTCTGCTATTCCATGTATTACTATTTTTTAAGCATGATTTTATTTTTTCTTATTATTTTTTAATTTGTCCAGAGAGAGAACAAGGAAAAAGTGAGAAAGCAGCCCGCCAGGTCTGGGACTCACACTGCATTCGGCCATATGGAAGTCCAGCTCCTCAACTACCAGGCCACCTACTGGACTTTCCATATATTATTAATGCAAAAGTTTGTGAAGCTAGTTTTTTTTTTTTTTTTTTTCTCTTTTTTTTTTTGGGGTTTTTTTTTCGTTAGGGAATCTCCAGACAGACAGAGAGAGATAGACAGAAAGTGGGAAACCCCCCCCCAGGGGGTATAGCCACACCACAATACCTTCTCCTCCATTCTCCTCTTGGGACCTTGGGCACGCATGCACATGCGCCTGGCGTGAGTTTAAGCCACCAGGTCCGGGACTCAAACCGCGGTCGACTACACGGGAGTCCAATGACATAGCCATTACGCTAACTGCTGGTCCCTGAAGCTAGTATTTATGTAAGAAAGGAAACTTTTTGTAGTTGATTGAAAAGCATTACATTCAAGATTTTTCTTTTTTTCAAAAATTTTCCCGAGGTTGCATGCACTCACCAGAGAAAGAGACAAAAAAGGGAGAAAGCAAACCTCCCAGTGGGGAATGGTCATGCTGCAATCCCTCCTCTGTTACTTCTCCATCCTGTTGGAATTTTGGACATGCGTGCACATGCACCTAGTTTGTTTTTCAAGCTGCTGGCTGAGACTCAAACCATGTGGTCAGTCATGTGTGACCTGGCTTCTTCAACCATCAGGCCACAGGGCCAGCCCTCCTTTCATGTTTTAAAGTGAGGCTTGTGCTGCATGGGGAAAGGGACAGGGCAGGTGCATTCCATGTAGGTTATTGGCTCTTTCCCATGGTTCTTGTGGGAGATTGGTTGTGTATAATGGCTATACTTAACATGGTAAATTTTAGCTCAGTTTATAGTGAAGTTTTAAAAATTTGAAAGCATAGGGACCAGCAGTTAGCGTAATGGCTATGTCGCTGGACTCCCACATAGTCGACTGCAGTTCGTGTCCTGGACCCGGTGGTTTAAACTCACGCTGGACGCGTGTGTGTACATGCCCAAGACCCTGAGAGGAGAATGGAGGAGAAGGGATTGCGGCGTGACCATCCCCCCAGGGGGTGATTTCTTGCTTTCTGTCTTTCTGTCTCTCTGTCTGTCTGGTGAGCGCATGTGCCCTATAACAAAAACCACTAAAAAAAAATTTGAAAGCATAAACGTACAAGCAATTGCCTATATATGAATGTGCATATAGTATTCTGCAATATTAGATATTCCACAATTTTTTTTTTTTACCACACAGGAAAATAATATTTTATTTTAACTAGAAACAGCAGATAGCAAGTTCACGAGGTATGATTTGATCTTTTTTTCTTTGTAATCAGGCTTCAACAATAACAAAAAAAAAAAAAAAGAAGAGATTAACTGCACAGATATTTTGGTCACTATTATAATCCTTAAAGACACAAAAGCCAGCAGCATAAAGTAACGTAAATGTAACGACTGAGAATTCTTGATGGGCCAAAAATATAGATCACTGCATAAAACTCTATTGTACTTTCCTAACATTCTTCTTAAACATTGACAATTATTAGTCAGCAAAATATGAAACATGTGCATAGTATTCTTACAAGAATACTGCCAATGTTAATACCAAGCTTTTCTTCCCCCACAAAATGCAACGAATCATGAGTCTACTTTGTACGTATTAGTGTTTGTTAGGGGTAATGTGCAAAATTGGGTTTGTTTTCAAGGTTAAATAGTAGATTGACTTCACATTTGGTGGTCAGCTGTGTACCCTAATTTTCCATCTTTTATTTTCTTAACTACATTTCATAAGCCCTGAGATATTAGGTAACCTGCTAATGATTGTACAGTTTTAACTTAAATACTTTACTCCACTCAATTTGAACCCCACATAATAGGTATGATAATATTTACTACCTATATAGTTAAGGCTCTAATAAGACCTTTAACTAAGAGTTGCATATTTTATACATTATTAACTTGCTAGGAGCAACTCTTAAAATTACATTTATAATTCAGTCAGCAATAAGTGCTTTTCATTTTGTTTACTTCTTCATGAATAACCAGATTCTTTTTTTCTTTTGTAAAACAACTTTTTTTCTTCCCCATACATAAATGCTAGTTTTCCACCTGAACAGTTGTCAAAAGGAACCTAGCATTTGGATAGCACGTTGATGATAACTGCATTGCCTAGCCAGAGACGTATGCTCATAACAGGCATTCAATGTGTTTGTTCCATATGGAATGAGTGAATTGTATATAATTTTTTTTTTTGAGAGGTTTTTGCTATAGGGTGCGTGTGCTCGTCAGACAGACAAGAAGAGACATAGAGGCAGAAAGCAAGAAATCACCCCCTAGAGGGGATGGTCACGCCGCAATCCCTTCTCCTCCATTCTCCTCTTGGGATCTTGGGCACGCATGCACACACGCCTGGCGTGAGTTTTAAGCCACCGGGTCCGGGACATGAACCGCGGTCAACTATGTGGGAGTCCAGCGACATAGCCATTATGCTAACTGCTGGTTCCCAATATTCCACAATTTTTAAAAAAGAATTATTTAATTTTATTTATTACTGGACTATTGGAAAAGTCATGACATACTTTTCTATGCAGAAATGTGTCACGACTTAAGACAACCCAATATTGTTATTTTTAATTTAATATAGCACATGCACTCACCAGAGAGAGACAGAGAAGGGGAAGTGAGAAAGCAAGCTGCCAGGTCTAGGACTCAAACTGTGGTTGGCCAGGTGGAAGTCTAGCTCCTTAACCTCCATGCCACCAGCTGGCCCCAGTATTTCCATAGTTCATCTATAAATAGACTAGAAATGTATTATGGTGTAAAATTTTAGTAGTAGTTTATATTTGTCAAAGGAAATCTAAATATTTTTGTTATTCCTCAGTTCTTAGGAAATTTAGGACTACAGGCCTACACAGGACATTTAGAGTAGAGTTTAGGTAATTTAGTGACTGGACTATGATTTTTTTTTTTTAAGTTTTGCTGTAGTGTGTATATATGTTCAAGAGAGAGAAAGGTAGCTATCACCCCGCTCCTCCCAAAAAAGATGGCCATGCCACAGTCCCTTCTTGAGTTTTGGGTGCATGCACATGCCCTTGTGTGATTTTTCAAACCTGAGTCCAGGATTCGAATTGTGCAGTTGGCCATGTAGGATCCAGCGCCTTTATCTCTATGCTACCTGCTGGCCCACTTCTTCTTTTTTTTTTTTTTCTTAAGTCACTTTTCAAAACTTTCTTTCAGTTGTGAAGTTATTCGAGATTGGAAGACAGGAGAATCCCTCTGTTATGCTTTTATTGAATTTGAGAAGGTATGTCATAAATATGTATATTATTAAGTATGGTACTTATTTTTGTATGTGTGGTATTAAAATGTGAAAAATTAAAGAACTTTTTCTAATTTTTGTGATCACCTTTTCTTTGGGCATCCAACAAAATTAACTTTGTTGGTGTTAATATATATAGCTGTACTTGTTTAGCTGAAGTCCTTCACAGATTTTTCAGCATTACTTAGATGAAGATATAATTGAGTAATGAGAAGAGATCTGGACTGGATGTTAAGATGTAGGTGTTAATCTAAGCTCTGTCTCTGGCCAGCTGTTGTAGGATATTTAGATACTTATCTAACCCTTCTTCCCAGGCCTTACCTTTCTTATAAGGAAAACTTGGGTACTGGGTTAGATGGTCATTTCTAGATCTCTGATAATGATGACAGTTTATGTTGCTCACATCCTTTAAACTAAGCATTATGTTACTTTTTCTGCATTTAAACCTCATAACTCTTTTTTTTTTGGAGATGTTTTCGCTATAGGGCACGTGCACTCGCCAGACAGAGAGAAACATAGAGAGAGAAAGCGAGAAATCGACCCCCATGGGGGATGGTCGCGCCGCAATCTCTTCTCCTCCATTCTCCTCTCAGGATCTTGGGCACGCACGCACACGGGCCCGGCATGAGTTTTAAGCCACTGGGTCCGGGACACAAACCGCGGTCGACTACATGGGAGTCCAGCGACATAGGCATTACGCTAACTGCTGGTTCCCAAACCTCATAACTCTTTGAGACAGAAACTACTATCATTTTCCAGATAGGCAAACTGAGATACAAAGTGATGATGTGGTTGTTCACAGTCTTGCACCTTCTGAATGGCATAGGTAGGAATTGAACTTGGACATGTCTGACTCTGATCCTGTTGAATTAGCTGCTGTGCTATGCTATGCTTTGTGATTTCTTTATACAATTTTGGCCTGACGTAGCCCATTCTTAATTACAGTTACCTTGAAGCATTTATTGAACACCTATGTTTCAGACACTGGGATAGGTCTTAGGGATGCACAATTAATAGCTGAGTGTTGAGGAAAACAGACACGTAACAAATTATACTTAGACACTGTGTCAGATGTACCAAGAATGATACTGGTAAAGTACATTGCTGCCAGCAAAAGGAGAGCTTTACCTTTGATTTGCCATGAGCATTTCTCATAGACCTGACGCTGTCATTTCATCATTCACATTATAAGGGTATATTGTTTATTTGCTCATGAATAACATTTCATCTCATTCGTGGCATATAGACTAAAGATTGCCTGCACTTTTCAGTCTTTTTCAACTATACCTTTTTCTTTTTTTCTTTTTTTAATTTGTAAGAGGGTACATGCACTGGCCGGAGAAAGACTGAAGAGGAGAGAGAGAGAGAGAGAGAGGGAAGTGAGACAGCACCATATATGAAGAATAGTCATGCAGCGATCTCTTCTCCATATTTTCCTTTGGGGATTTTGGGCATGTATACAATGCGCCTGGCATGTTTGTCAAGCCACCAAGTCTGGAAACCAAACAACTCGACCCTGTGGGATCCAGCTGCCATAACCACCACACCACTGGCTGGCCTGCAACTCTACCTTTTCTGTGAATCTGTAGTTCAGACCAGCTTTATAGCATGGGGTGATTATAGAATTTATTTTTTTAAATCTGTTTATTTCTTCTGAGAGAGAAAAAAAGAGACAGGGACCAGCATTTCCAACAGGGTCTTCACACTGATTCTCCCCAGCCACACCAGCCTAGATCTTGGGTACACACACGTGTGTACCTGCATATACTGGAGACCTCAGGATGTGAACCCAGGACCTTCCAACGTCCAGCATCGCAGAACATTGCATTACTGCTGCACCACTGTGGCTTCCAGGGAATCTATGAGTTCTTTATTTTGATTAAACATTTCAGTTTTTTGTTTTGTTTTGTTTTTTAAGGTTTTTGCCATAGGGTGCATATGCTTGCTGGAGAGGAGAAAGACAGAGGGAAAGCAAGAAATCACCTCCCTTCCCAGTGTACATAGCCACGCAGCAGTCCCTTCTCCTTCATTCTCCTCTTGGGATTTTGGGCACACATGTACATGTGCCTGGAATGGGTCTGGGGCTTGAATTGTGGTGGGCCATGTGAGAATCTAGCCACCTTAACTACCATGCCACCTACTGGCTCCAAACATTTCGTTTTTTGAGGTGGCTCTTTTGTAGCCTTGCTCCTTTCTTGAAAATCAGAATAAGCTACATTATTTGGCTTCGTAATTCTCATAACTGTGGTACCCTCTTTGTGTGTGTGTGTGTGGTGTGTGTGTGTGTGTGTGTGTGTGTTTTGAGAGGTTTTTGCTACAGGGCGCGTGCGCTCACCAGACAGACAGAGAAAGACATAGAGACAGAAAGTGAAAAATCAATCCCCGGGGGGATGGTCACGCCGCAATCCCTTCTCCTCCATTCTCCTCTCGGGATCTTGGGCATGCACACACACGCCCGGTGTGAGTTTTAAGCCACCGGGTCCAGGACGCGAACCACAGTCGACTACGTGGGAGTCCAGCAACATAGCCATTATGCTAACTGCTGGTTCCCTCCCTCTTTGTGTTTTTCACCAGGTCTGTATTTTTTGCATATTGAGCAACTTCTCTATGCTTCAGATAGCCTGATTCCATCTTTTTTTTTTTTAATTTACCAAAGGACACTGTGTACTCACCATAAACAGAGAGCAAGCCCCGCCTAGTGGGCACGGTTATGTCAAAATGCCTTCTCTCTCTCTCCATCCTATCAGGATGTTGGGCACGCACACCTATGCACCAGACATGTGTTTCAAGCTACCTCTGGGGCTGGGATTCAAACTGTACCAATGCCTTGTGGGATCTGTCTGCCTTAACCACTTAGACCATAGGCTTAACACCAAATTTATGGAAACTTTCACTTTTTAGGATATTTTTGGGTTTTGAGTGAAAGGATTGTGGCCTTGAATAACATGATCAGTAATTACAGATACGTCTGCTGCAGTCAGGGAGTGTTTGTATTTAGGTTTCTGCCTCTGACCCTTGCTGTGTGTGTGACCTCAGACAACTCCTGTACTTTCCTAAATTTCTGCTTTCTCATTGAGGAAGTGGAGATGAATAGATAGTACATCGTAGGGTTGTTACTAGAGTCAGTTGAGGTCATAGATGCAATGCATTTAGCATCAGTCTGGTGTATAAGTATTCAAATGTTCATTTTAGTTACAATAAACTCTGTATTTTCGGTATTTGTTTTAGATACAGAAATCTTTTCTGTAAAGGTTTATACTGGGTGTTTATGATTACTATCAGGAAGAAGATTGTGAGAAAGCATTCTTCAAAATGGACAATGTACTTATAGATGACAGAAGAATACACGTGGATTTTAGTCAGTCTGTTGCAAAGGTTAAATGGAAAGGAAAAGGTATTTTGGTTTATCTTTGTTTCTTTTCTGCCTTATATGATTGTATATGTGAGGAATGTTTTTAAAAGTTAATGGAAAATGCATGTTATAAGGAAGCTAAGCATGGATTTAAAAATATTTTATACCCAAATAAACTTGTACTTTAATTCCATTTTTTTGTAAACTTTTCAAAGACCCATTGTACAACCTTTGATTTAGTGCAATTAAGAGAAATGTTAACTGATGTATTTTCTGCTATTTATAATTTTACAAAGTTGCTATCTAGAATTTAAGATAGAAGCATGTATAGATTGTGAGTGCGTGTGTTTATGTGTGTTTTGAAGAGAGATTTTTGCTATAGGGCGTGTGCATTCACTGTTGAAAAAGAAAGCAAGGAATCACCCCCCTGCAGGGGAGATGGCCATATTGCAGTCCCTTCTCCACCATTCTCCTCTCAGGATTTTGGACATACACACACGTGTACCCAGCATGAGGTTTAATCTTTCAGGTCTGAGACTCAAAAGGCAGTTGACTATGTGGGAGTCTAGTGATGTAACCATTATGCCATCTGCTGGTCCTGTCTGTATATTTTAAGCTGATATAAAAGACCACAGTTTTTGTTTACTATTATAAATTACTTAAAATTAAACCTACCGGGGACCAGCAGTTAGCGTAATGGCTATGTCGCTGAACTCCCATGTAGCCGACTGCAGTTCGAGTCCCGGACCCATTGGCTTAAACTCACGCCAGGCATGTGTGCGTGCATGCCCAGAATCCTGAGAGGAGAATGGAGGAGAAGGGATAGCAGTGTGGCCATCCCCCCTGCGGGGTGATTTCTCACTTTCTCTCTCTCTCTCTGTCTTTCTGGTGAGTGCGCGCACTCTACAGCAAAAACCTCTCAAAAAAAAAGAAAAAATTAAACCCACTGCAGACATATGTTTCCAAAGTAACTATTATGACTTCATGTGGTGGTTTTATTCTTTTATGTACAAAAGCCTTTAAAAATTTTTTTAAAGTTTATTTGTTTTAGTTATCATATGGTACAAAATCAAAAAGGTCTATAATCCCTTTCATTCCTGTTCCTCATCTTCTCACTTCTTCTTCCCAGGAGTAACCACTGTTACTTGTTTCTTTCTTTATTATTTTTTAAATCTTTATTTATCTATTTATTTCTTCATGTAATTATTGTACATCTTTACAACATACAAAACTATTTTTCCCAGCATGAATACATTGTATTTTAGTACAGTCAAAGATACCACCATATACATTATCAACAGATAACTTTCTATTTCTATTTACTTACTTATTTTGTAGAGAGAGATTTTTGTTGTTGGGTGTGTGTGCTTGCCAGAGAGACAGAAAGCAAGAAATCACCCCTGGGAGGGTGGCCACGCCACAATCCCTGCCCTTCCATTCTCCTCTTGGGATCTTGGGCATGCACACACACGTGGCCAGCGTGTTATTTTGTCACTGGGTCTGAGGCTTGAATCACAGTTGACTACATGGGGGGGGAGGGTTCCATCTGCTGGTTCCAAATGTTTTAGATTTTAATCTCAGGTCCAAAATAATTAATTTTCCACTGGATTTAATGTTATCATGGATTTATGGCTCTACTTCAGTACTGTATTTATTCCTAATTTATTTGAAAGTTTGATGTTTGCAATATTCATGTTCATCAGTAGGTGGCACCACACTTAAAATAATGGATATCTGATTTCAGTTAAAATAATAATGGAGATTGAATTGCTATGCTTTTGTTTTCTTCTCACCCTTTTTTTGTCTCCCAGTTATATGCCTTTTATAAGATAGATATTACACCTTTTATAAAATAATTTTTGTTTTTGGTTTATTAGGTAATTATTCTTACTAAGCTTGTTTTTTCCTCTCTTCTTAATAAACAGGTGGAAAGTACACCAAGAGTGATTTCAAGGAGTATGAAAAGGAACAAAATAAACCGTCTAATTTGGTTCTGAAAGATAAAGTAAAGCCCAAACAGGAGTATCCTTAACAAAAATCAGTCAATATGTATTTTTTTTTAAGTCTTTCATATAATTTTATTTTCTCCCTTTAACCATGATAATATGATATCCAAATTTTGTCTTAACTGGTGGGTCTGTAAACACAGGCTTATCCATCCCACTGACTGGCGAGGCAAATGCTGCTTCTTGAAATGGTCCCACCATGGATCCTCTGGTCACCCAACCCCAGTCACCCCCTTGCCTGGCTTTATCTTCACTGTATTGTGTGGCCACTTCATTGAATCTCATTCCAGACTAACTTTTCCATGGCTTCCATAATTTTGCTGTGTTTTTCACATAGAATGTGTCTGACCTTTACTGCATTGCCACCACCTTTGGGACCCTGTGACTTCTTGTCAGCAGTATCACTCCCAGACGCTGCTCCCCCTTAACCCCCCTTTTCCAGAACCACTTTTTCCTTTGGGCGGCATCTTCAAGACTTGCGGATAAACAGTCAACCCAAAATCAGTCAATACGTTTTGAACCTCCATTATGTGTAGAATGCTGTATGTTGCGTTGTAAGAAGTCACATAGGTTTATAAAATGCAGAGTTCCTGAATTCAGATTGTTTGTGAAGAAATAAGTTTATTGTTATCTTTTCAAGTCTTATATACTTTGCTTTTTCATTGTAACACACTATTTCATGGAGAAAGTTAAAGAAATCTTTCACTTAATTCTTTTACCTTCCTACTCTTAGGTTAAGTAACTTTGCACTTAACGTATTCTCAAAAGATCTTCAGTTAAGATTTATATTTTCCATATATAATTATGTTTTGAATGATTCATAATCAGATTGTTGTTGTTATAGCTCAGCTAACCATCTGTTATCTGTGCTAATCATCCTCTTTTTAAAGTTTATTTATGTCTTCCATGAGAAACAGGAGAAACAGAGAGGGAGAGAAACAGCATCCCCAACAGGGTCTTGACGGCATGACCCACCCTAGATTTAACAGCTCCAGATCGTGGGCACATGTGTGCCCTGTGCCAGGCATACTCAGGGAGGTCTCTGGAGGTGACTCTGGAGCTGTCTCGTGGCCAGCCTCACAGAGTGTGGTATTTCACTGCCACGTCACCTTCCGACCCCAGCTAACCATACTCTTCTGCTTAAATTTGTTCTTTAGGTAACAGGTTGCCGTAGTTCTCTGTTACAAGATTAGGTTGTTTCTTTTTGGATGGCATACTGTCATTTTAGCAGCAAATACTTATTGGTCCCCTCTTAAGTGCAAGAATTGAGTTTTACTTGTAGACGAAAAATACATTCACTTGACTATTTAGTTTAGGTTTTTCCAGGGTTTAGGTTGAGACATGTAAAAAGCAATGAAGCATACTGTTCATATTACATCATTTTAGTTTGTTCATGATTTTTCTCATTATAAATCTATCACTCTACACATTGCAAAAGTCACTTCTTTTGTGATTCTTTGTAGTAAATGATGTCTTTGTTTCCTAGTTTCTGTTGATGTGTAAGGGAGTCTTTTCCCATGCTGTGTAGACATTTCTTTTCCAAGTGTTTGTGAGGGAAAGATGACCATCACATTGACTTTATATATATTCCTGTTTTAAAATGTATTGACTGTCCGCAGTGCATAAAGCATTGGGAGGTGACGGAGCTAAGTAAAGTCTGAAGGATTCTGACAAAGTTGGCATGTGAAGAGGCTTTTGCCTGCATACAAGAAGCAGAGATTTGGCTTAAAACACCAGCATTAAAGGGCATATGATCAAAAGCTCAAAATCATAAAAGGCATGGATAGAATACACTTGAAATTTATTTACCTAAACTTTGAAATTAGGTTTAGGCTCCCCACACAAAACCGCACCTAGGGAACCAGCAGTTAGCGTAATGGCTATGTCGCTGGACTCCCACGTAGTCGACCGCAGTTCGTGTCCCGGGACCCGGTGGCTTAAAACTCACGCCGGGCGTGTGTGCGTGCGTGCCCAAGATCCCGAGAGGAGAATGGGGGAGAAGGGATTGCGGCGTGACCATCCCCCCCTGGGGGGTGATTTCTCGCTTTCTGTCTCTATGTCTCTCTCTGTCTGTCTGGCGAGCGCACGCGCCCTTCAGTGAAAATCTCTCCAAAAAAAAAAAACCCAAAAAACCCGCACCTACAAGAAGGTGTAGGACAAATACATGGAAGTGGCATTGTAGCGTGTAGAGTAGAGGCACCTCTTTCCCCACAGAGGGAGTTCAGGTTGAAAAGAAAGAATGTGGAACATTAAAACTTTTAAAACTCAAGAGACTGGATTACTAAAAGTTAAGGAAGGAAACTAGATGTGTTTGAGAATAAATCTCTAGTACTGTTCTATAGAACTTTCTGGATAGAAATGAGCTATGTCTCCACTTTCCAGGATGGCTACCAACCACATGCGATATTGAATATTAGAGATGGACTGAGAGATGAATTTTTAATTTAAATTTTCTCTTTTTTAAGATTTTTACCATAGGGTGTGTGGGTTTGCCAGAGACAGAGGGGGAGCGGGGGGATGGCCATGCCACAGTCCCTTCTTCTTCGTTTTTCTCTTAGAATTTTTGGGGCATGCACATATGCCCAGCATGATTTTCAAGCTATTGGGACTGAGACTTGAACTGCAAAGTTGGCCATGTGGGAATGTAGTGCCCTAACTACCATGCCACACGCTGACCCTAATTTCATTTAATTTTAATTAAACAACTGTATATGCCTAGTATTAAACAGTGTGGCTTCTCTTTTAAAGTCAATAATAGAATCCAATAATGCCTAGTATTAAGCAGTGCAACTTCTCTTTTGGAGTCAATAATAGTAGAAGACAGACATGTCCTCATGGAAACCACTGTTAATGATTCTCAAATGATTAACAGACTATTAAACATGAAAGAGGAAATTCATGAATCTGACCCATAGGATAGTCTTTATATTCTTGGTAACTGACAAGTGCATTTCAGTGAGGCATTGAAGATCTTAGGTAAAATAATCAAGAATAGACTATTTTTTGAGAGATTTTTGCTATAGGGCATGTATGCTTGCTGGAGAGACAGAGACAGGGAGACAGAAAGTGAGGAATCAACCTCTGGGGTATGGCCACACTACACTCCTTTCTCTTCCATTCTCCTCTCAGGATTTTGGGCATACACGCACACACACCTGGTGTGAGTTTCAAGTCGCCGGGTCCAGGACTTGAACCGCAGTCGGCTACATTGGAGTCCAGTACCTTAACCACTATACCACCTGCTGGCCGCCTAGACTATTTATTTATAACATGTAGGATATGCTCATGCTCACATATTTTATTTTGTTACTTATCACAAAGGAAAGGCATTCAGAGGATAGTCTAATGTGTAGATAAGTTGTCTTGAATCATCCTTAACATCCATCTCACTTAACCATCTCACTTATGGTCATGGGACCAGGCCAGGATGCTATTTTCTTTTAGAAATTATTACTATTATTTTGGATTTTTGCCGTAGGGCATGAATGCTTGCTGGAGAGAGAGTGAGAGAGGAAAAGTGAGAAATCACTCCCCAGGAGGATAGCCATGCAGCAATCCCTTCTCCTGCAGTTCGCCTCTTGGGATTTTGGGCACACTCGCACGCACACGCGTCCTGTGTGTTTTTAAAGCTGCCAGGTCTGGGGCTCCAGCTGTAGAGTTTGAGTAGGATCCAGCACCCTAACCACTACTCCCCCAGCTGGCCCAAGACATTTTTTTTTTTTTGGAGAGGTTTTTGCTATTGGGCACGTGTGCTTGCCAGAAAGACAGAGAGACACAGAGAGACAGAAAGCGAGAAAACAACCCCCCAGGAGGAATGGCCATGCCACAATCCCTTCTTCTCCATTCTCCTCTCAGGATCTTGGGCACGCACGTATACGCGCCCAGCACGAGTTTAAGCCACCAGGTTCAGGACTCAAACTGCATGGGAGTCTAGCGACATAACCATTATACCAACTGCTGGTCCTGCCATACACCTTTTAAAATTTCTTATTAAAAAAATTCTGACTGTGACTCACTAGATGGACTTTGCACCCCGCTGATGGGATTATGATCATCACTTGGAAAAACAGTGTTCTAAAGCATTTTGGACAAAGGAAGCTGCATGTGCAGAGCGCGTATTAAGATTAAATCAGGGTTTGGGGAGCTGGGTCCCACTTCAAATCCCTGGCAGCTTGTTAAACACTAGGTGCATATGTGTGCGTGCCCAAAATCTCAACAGGACGGAAAAATGGAGAAGGGATTGTGGTGTGACTTATGCCCTATTGGGGATATGTTTCCCCTTTATCTTTCTGTCTCTCTCTGGCAAGTGCTCTCTGGCAATTAAAATAATAATTTTAAAAAGGATGAAATCAGGCCCAGTCATGGTGACACAAGCAGTAAGGCATGTTTCTATAAGGCTGGGGCTTTGTGAGAGCCCAGGTTCTATTTCCACACCAACCTAGGGAGTTCTGGCACGTTGGTGCCTGCCTTAAATCCTAGCCAACTGAGAGGCTGGGGCACAGGATTGCAACATGGCAAGACCCTGTCAAGAATACCTGTCATTTCTCCCTTTCATAAAATAGGAGGCAAGGGCCGTTGAGTTTGTATCTGAAAGAGAAGTCCCAGAAGATGCTGTGTAAACGGTGTGCCTGAGTGTAAAGGACAAAAGGAGGTGGAGATAACCCAGCAATAGTAGGTTGTTACAGGCTGACTGGCCATCTTTTTTTTTTTTTCTTTTAGAGATTTTTGTTATATAGTGAGTGTGCTTGCTGGAAACATAGAAACAGAGAGAGAAAGTGAGAAATCACTCCGCAGTGGAGATGGCCACGCTGCAATTCCGTCTCCATTCTCCCCTCAGAATCTTGGGCATGCATGTACATGCAGCCGACATGAGTTTCTAGCTGCTGGGTCTGGGACTCAAACCAGGGTCGGCCATGTGGGAGTCTAGCGCCTTAACCACTGTGCCACCTGCTGGCCCCATGACTGGCCACCTTTAGCCCTCTCAAGGGAAGCCATTGGAACAGTGTTTTCCTCATTGGTCTTAGGTAGAAGTGAGACATAATCGCTGTGGCATTGCGAAAACGGACCTGATCCCCTAGTTCTGAGGGAAGTGCATCTGTTTACCCCAGTCTCACATGCAGCTGAAAGAGCTCTGCACGTCAGGCTTCCTCATACGCTTTCTTTGGAAAACCACTGTTCTAGCCCATGTCACCCTTCCCCAAAGCCACTTTAGAAGCTGAGAATGTTTTCTGCACAGGTTGTAATTGTTTTAATTTTCTCATATTCCAAGGCCTTACAGTATACTAAGGAACATATTTCTATGTGAATTAAAACATTGTCAAGTTTTTATAGCACATCTATGTAAAATTTCAGAAAGATTAACTCATAGTTCTGTCACCTATACAAGTGATACTTTTTATTTTTTCTCGTTCCTTTCAAGGCTTTATCTTTTATAAAATTTTATAAAGTTATAATCACTGTTTGGCATAGGCAGTTTTTACCTTCAACTTTTTTCACTTTGGATTTTTATGAATACTTGTCAGATTTTTTTTATAGCATTTACCATTGTCACCATCCTTTATATTACATTAACTTTTTTTCTTAATTTAGTTTTTGCTATAGGGCATATGCATTCCCCAGAGAGAGAGAGAAGGAAAGTGAGAAATCAGAAGAAGAATCATATAAACCTATCTCTTATATAGCTTCTCTGATATTAGGCTTTATAATATTTTAATTTTGTCTAGTTAAGTATGTACCTCATTTTCTAAGTTTATATTTTTTCATTATTGGGCCCAGCAGGTGGCATGGTGGTTAAGGGCACCGGACTCCCATGTGGGCGACTACAGTTTGAGTCCTGGACCTTGTGGCTCTCTCTCTCTCTCTCCCTCCCTCTCTCTCTCTCTGTCTCTGGTCAAGTTAAAATTAATAAATAAATGGATAAATAAAGATAAATAGAAGAATTCGTTTAAAACTTTTTATTATTGGGACCAGCAGTTAGCGTAATGGCTATGTCGCTAGACTCCCATGTAGTCGACCACAGTTCAAGTCCTGGACCCAGTGGCTTAAACTCATGCCGGGCGCGTGTGCATGCGTGCCCAGGATCCTGAGAGGAGATCTGGCGAGCGCGCGCGCCCTATGGCAAAAAAAAACCTCTCCAAAAAAAAAAAAAACAAAACTTTTTATTATTAACAAAGTTCTTTTTACTTCTTATGCTACTTGGATCTTCTCTTGTGAGTATAGTTTTAGTTACATATCTTTGCCTACTTGTTATTAACCATATGTTTAAGATGAGGGTTCTTTCCCTTTGTCCTAACTATGTAATAAAAGAAAATGTGTTTGATTTGTTTTAGAAATAAACTCTAAGCTTTTTTTTTTTTTTTTCTGCTTTAAAAAGTTACCTTTAGGGCCAGCCAGGTGGCTTGTTTGTTAAGGCAGCTGACTCTCACATGGCCGACTTCGCAGTTTGAGTCCTGGACCCAGAGGCTGGAAGTACATGCCAGGTGTGGAGGCATACATGCCCCACGTCCCGAGAGGAGAAGGGAGAGAAAGGATTGCACGTCATCCCCGCTGGGCGTGCTTTCTGACTCCCTCCCTCTTACCTTTAGCCTCTGGCCTCCATTGTGTACTAGACACCTACGTTTTACCCTTACCAGTGCCGTCTCACATCGTCCTTAACTAGCACTGCAGCGCAAAATACGATCTGGTGCTGGATGATCCGGCAGAGGACTCCAAGTCAGGTCACTCACACACGAGTAAAAAGCACAAGAAGAAAACCCGTCACTGTGCTGAAGAAAAGGAAGACGAGGACTGCATGCCGATCAGAAACACCAATCAGGTACTTCTGACGTTCAGACTGAAGTGGGGAACAGATGTGTTAGCCCTAATTTTCATCTTGGTGGTGTAATTTAGGGGGTAAGAGATGGTCTGCACAGGAATGAGTAGGTTCCTAGCACTGAAACACTGAAATACAGATGGTGCACTGAGTAACAGACTTTAATTTCAAGAATCATTGGGACCAGCAGTTAGTATAATGGCTATGTCTCTGAACTCCCATGTAGTCGACTGCAGTTCGAGTCCTGGACCCAGTGGCTTAAACTCACGCCAGGCACATGTGCATGCGGGCCCAGGATCCTGAGAGGAGAATGGAGGAGAAGGGATTGCGGCCTGGCCATCCTCCTTGGGGAGTGATTTCTTGCTTTCTGTCTCTCTGGTGGGCACATGCGCCTTGTAGGAAAAACCTCTCAAAAAGAAAACAAAAAAATAAAAAGAGGGACCAGCAGTTAGCGTAATGGCTATGTCGCTAGACTCCCACGTAGTCTACCACGGTTCGAGTCCCAGACCCAGTGGCTTAAACTCACGCCAGGCGCGTGTGCGTGCGTGCCCAAGATCCCGAGAGGAGAATGGAGGAGAAGGGATTGCAGCGTGGCCATCCCCCTTGGGGGGTGATTTCTTGCTTTCTATCTCTCTGTCTCTCTCTGTCTGTCTGGTGAGTGCACGCACCCTAGAGCAAAAAAAAAAAAAAAAAAAAAAAAAGATATATATCATTGAATTATTATAAAAGTTTTTTTTTTTTCCTTTTTCCCATAGGGCAAATTGTTTACCAGAGACAGAGTGAGAAGAGAAGTGAGAAATCACCCATGGGTGTATAGCCACCCTGCAGTCTCTTCTCCTCCACTCTCCTCTCAGGATTCTTGGTGTACACGCATTCCCCTGGCGTCCTTCTCAAGCTGCCAGGTCTGTGATTTATACTTCATTTGGCCATGTTGGAGTCCAGTGCCTTAACCATCATGCCACCTGCTGGGTCCCCAAAGATTATTTTTGAAGTAGCTTAATATATGCTACACTTCACATCCAGTAGGTGGTGTAGTGGGAAAAGCACTAGACTCTCGCATGGCCAATGATGGTTCAAGTCTTGGACCCAGTGGCTTGAAAATCATGCTGGTGTGTGTACATGAGTGCCCAAAATCCCGTGAGTGGAATGAGGAAAAGGGATTGCAGCATGGCCATTCCCCCATGTGGTGATTTCTCATTTTCCTTCTCTCTGTTTCTCTCCAGCTCCAGTGAGCACATGTGCCCTTTGACAAAAATCTGAAAAACAAGTGTGGTTGTGATGACAAAGTTTTTCTCACTTATCACCTTCATTTGTCACCAAGTATCTGCATAGCACTAGAGACTCTACAGCTGTAAAACATGTATACCTTTCCTTGGTGGATCCGCAGAATAGAAGCAGCACTGATAATTAACTTGGCCATACCAAACTTTCTTCTGAGCAGCACCTTTTCTAAAACAGTGATAATAAAAATTCCCCAGAGAAAGCTGATTATAAAGAGAAGAAACTGGGGCCAGCAGATGGTGTAGTGGTTAAGGTGCTGGACTCCCACATAGCTAGCTGCAACGGTGGCTAGAAAAATACGACAGGCATGTGTGTGTATGTGCCCCAAATCCCAGGTGGATAATCGAGGAGAAGGGATTGCGACATGGCCATCCTCCCTGGGGGGTGATTTCTCACTTTTCCTCTTTTTGTGTCTCTCTGTCTCACTCTTTCTCTGGCGAGTGCATGCGCCCTATGGCAAAAACCTCTAGATAGATAGATAGATAGATAGATAGATAGATAGATAGATAGATAGATAGATAGATAGATGAAATCATTTTCAACCTGGGTTTTTGGTTCTCATTTAGATAAAAAGTAAATTGCATCACAGCCCTTTTCTTTGTTTCATTACCTAGAAGATGTTTGAGCTGGGCCCTGGTGGATGAGAACTATTTCAGTGGGCCGAGGAGGGAATACAAGGTGGGATGAAAAGGTCAGGCAGAGACAGAATTGGTAGGCAATGCAGGATTTGCTGGCTGGAGAGCTAGGTGTGCATATCTGTGCTGCTGGTCAGTGACATGACCTTGACAAGTTAAATTTAACTCAGAAGATGATAATACTTCATAAGGGTGTTAACATTTTATGAAAATAAATGTATGTCCAGACATTTTCTTTACTTAGTATTTTTTTATGGTGTATTTATTTATTTCCTTTTGTTATTATTATTTTTAAAAATTTTGACCAGACGTAGACAGAGAGAGAGAGAAAGGGGAGGTGAGAAAGTAAGCCGCCTCAAATCCAGGCCTCAAATCGTGGTCAGTCCTATGGGAATCCAGCACCTTTAACCACCGTGCCACCTGCTGGCCCCCTGCACTTACTGTTATTACAATGTCTCTCACTATTAAGTCAAATTACTGTGCTTTAGATTACTTGGAATAATTTCTCATTAGTTGGTCATTAGCTAGACTCATATCTCAGTTAAAATTGTTTCATCTTATTTTTAGTGTTTAAGTATTGCTTTGAAAAAAACTGTTTTGACAGAGGGCATGTGCCCTTACCAGAAAGAGAGAGAGGCAGAGAGCAAGAAAGCATCCCTCTCTGCAAAAGGGAATGGTCATGCTGCAGTCCCTTCTCCATTTCTCCTTCCTTTTGGGATTTTGGACCTGCATGCACACACCTGCGTGTTTAAGTTGCCAGGTCGAGGACTCAAACCATGCAGCTAGCCATGTGAGTTCCAGCCACACTGGCCATCAGGACACAGGGTGACTCTGATTTGTAGTTTAAAAACTATGTAATTTCGAAATAGTACTGAGAAACTAGCTGCTATCCTTATCTCCCCTCCCCCCCAGTAGGTAACCATTTTATGTGTTTTATTATTATTTAAAGAAGCTGAATACAAAAAAGGTGGTCATTGGGACCAGCAGGTGGCGTGGTGGTTAAGGCACTGGACACTCCCACATGGCTAACCATGGTTCGAGCCCGGGACCTGGTGG